TAAGGCCAGGAGCCCCTAGTAGCTTCTTGTTCCTAGTAGTAAGGCCACGAGCCCCTAGTAGCTTCTTGTTCCTAGTAGTAAGGCCAGGAGCCCCGAGGCCCTAGTAGCTTCTTGTTCCTAGTAGTATGTCCAGGAGTCCCTAGTAGCGTCCTTGCTCCTAGTAGCGGCAAACAATTCTCTTTTAGCCAAGTGTCTGGTTGCTCTCAGCTCATCCTTGCTATGCGCGTAGGCACACCGGCTATCCTCGCACAAACCTCCGGCCGTTGCTATGAAGCTTGCCAGGTCAATGCTCATCGCTTCTTCCAACAGAAACGCAATGTGAATGAAAAGAAGTGATTGAACAGTGTGCTCAGTACAAGATAGAGTTAGCCAGTGAAAACTAGCTGCTCAATGCCCCGGTTGGAAAAGGCACCAATCCCCCACCATTCTCTCCCTGCCCCCCTTTGACTCAGCTGTCTTCGCTTGTGATTGATGTTGAGACCAAACATGCAAACCGTCACAAGGACCCGCAAGGAACCCTCAGGGCTTGGGAAATATGCTTTGATGTTCCGATTTTGAGAATTCATCTTGCCTGTTTGAATCAGTGTCTTGCATAGCTTGGTACACGTCAAGTCGGGCAGTTCACGCAGCTCCGTTTTTTGATGGGCAAACCTGGGCTGAGGAAGACAGCTTTGGAAGATGGGTGAATACCCTGAATTGCCACTCGTAATCACAAGAAAATTCGTAATTATGTGACCTTCTCATGTTTCAAAGCCAATTCCTCCAAGTCAACCATTTGTACAGCATGTACTGTACCTACTCTCTATACTCTAGAAGTTCTTTCGATTTGACCTTTGGCATCTCCTCCAAACTGGAAAGCTAGTAAGGCGGCTCCGGCGGAATGTGTTGGAGTCGCTAGCACTGGAATGTTTCACTTCTCTTCTTGACCAAAACCTGCTTATCTACTCTTCCCACACTTGTCCCTATGCAATGTGCCGCGAGTGAACCCCAAGACGAAACATGTCTCAGTGCTTTGAGCAGCACAACAATGCATGTGCAAAACAAAAGAGTTGAGGACTCGAGAGAGGGAGAGAGAGTTTCAATCTGCAGCAGTATGTACCCAGCATTTGACGCATGGTACTTGCCTTCTGAGAAGTGCGCTTCGGGCCGTTCCCGCTCTTCGCATGAACGGTTCCGATCCTTTGCTTGCCAACAGACGGGCATTGTGAACCTTTTGTGCACATCCCGACCAAGTAGAACTTGCACCTTAGGGAAGCTCCCTCCATCCAAACTGAATGAGAGACAAGCTAGGCAAGCTAGCGAGTGTCACTACAATGGGTTCGCTCATCCACCAATTGAATTATATAATTTAGTACTGCAATAGAACGTGCAGCCTAAGAACTTGTCTTGCGCCAGGCTTGCAAACTTGTTATCATGAGGTCCTAATCATCAATCTATGGGTGTCCCGACGGACAAGTTGCATTGGTCTCTTGTTGCAATTCAAGTATTGCCCTGTGAAAACACTGATGCAACACGCAGCTCCCGCACTCCAAACAAAATATCTACAAAGGGCATCAAAAGGCTTTCCGCTCACACCAAACACGTACACCAGGATGTTGTTTGTGCTTCAAGGGCAAGCTGTTGGCAACATGCCGGTTTTCGCTGGGACGTGCAATGCACTCTGTTCATGTGCTGCAAACCTTTGCGGTTAAACAAGCAAGAAGAATGGCAGAAGCACCCAAATGGCAATTCAATCTGCGGATGCCACCTCCCGGCAACTTTCCTATGTCTATAGACAAACATGTTGAGGTTGTTAACTTGGAGAAATGAAAACGTTGGAACGGAGTACCGCATTGAGAATACCCATGATTCAACTGACAAGCCTTCAAACTATCATTGTCCAAGGTCCTTTCCAGGTAGAACATGCGCCATGGCACATCTTAGTCTTTGAAAATTGCCATGTACGCGATCGGTCTGCTCCATTTGTAGGGCTTGCCATTGAAAATTGGGTCCTGCGAAACCAGCTGCGTTGCTGCCACACTCCTCTAACTGATATGAAGAAAGTGTGGCCCGTTGAAACAAAACAATCCCATTCATACAGGCATTCAGATTCAGACAAACCTTCTGCCACTCTCTAGTCGGGGGTCTACAAACCCTGCTTCAACTTCCATGGCAACGCAGGGACTGAAGAAATCGCTCTTCCCGTCCTCCAGGCTGGCCAGGAGCGGTCAGCGCGAAGTCTCGATCGAGGGAAAACGGGGGAGCGAAGTCTCCGCGCCCCCCCAGCCGTCACCGGGAGGCCCAAGCTCTGAGACAAACAGCACCGCAGGCGGAGACGGAGCTTTGAGATTTCATGACCCCTATGGATGTCAAGGTTCAGTGGACTTTACCCAAAACCCGTGCACTCCATGTGGTCGCAAGGTCTTGAAAGGGAAACCTTGATGTGAACGCCTCTTCTTTGGACTTTGGACTGGAGTGACTAGAAAAATGTCTGCCCAAATCCACCGTGACAACAAATGAAATCAGTTTAGTGAGATGTATGTCTGAATCTTAGGGTCTTGCAGCTGCCGAAGAGAAACCGGCCACAAAACTGCTCCTTTTTTTGTCCGAATCTTCCCAAAGACCGTCAGCAAGCAGGCACGTCAGCCAAAGAAGCCACAAATGCCTGCACAATTGTCCGCAAAGATAAGCATCAAAAAACAAAAACCAATGTCCCTCAAGACTCAAAATCTAGTTTCGATCATGCACTTGACTGGCCACCTACTTCCCTCCTGCTAACGGCCTACCCCCTAGCCCCAATCTTCCAGGATTCTCTGCCAAAAAAGAACTATGTACTAATATGCTGAAAGTGTCCTCAGTCCTCACCGTTTGTACGGAACTTAATGATCAATTGGCTTTTTGATGACAGGCGATCAAGTCACCCACTCCTCCATCGGCCAACGCAGATCAACAAATCCTCAGTTTGTGCCCGTTGGACCTTATCTTCCCTGATTCGTTGTTTGCTAGGGTCTTCGTACCGCTAGTCTACATATTACCATGTTTCTCTTTGGTTGTCCTGTGCAGGAGAGTTACGCGAAGGCATGCCCTTGGCGGGCGAACGCCTTGTACCACGCAACAAACTGGAAAAATGCTGCTAACATCTGCTAACGTTGAATCTCCAAAGCTAGTTAAGTTGGGGATACCGCTTTGCAAGGCAACAGCGTGCTTTCTTGCCGGAAATGTGATCTAGAGATAGCATTGTCGGCGTGGAAAGGGTTAATGTGAATTCCCTCTGATAGAACCCACTATTATCCGGTCTAAGGTCATACCTGTAGTGTGCCCCAGAGCTGTCGAATGTTAGTTAGATGATGTTAGATGCACTTGCATCGTGCTGCTCCTTGCATGTAAGCATCGTTTGGTCACCCTTGTGTCTCCGACACAGCATCGTGGTGAAGAGCTTGACCGCTGCCATCCATTGCCCTTTTTCCTGGAAGGGATTCACTTCACTGGGTCATTTACAGGAATGGAATGGATCTGTGACTTGCAGGAAGACGCCAAGACCCCTTTGTTCCATCAATCGCTTCGCAACTCTGGGAATCGAACACATCAGAGATCATCAAATGCCCGTTTGAAAAGTGAGGTGGGCCACTTCTGGACGCATCCTTCAGCCCACCGAGGTGCCTCAGCGTCTTTGGCTGGGCGAGTGCCAGGACTGGTATGGAGCGACGCACTCCTGCGCCAACCGAAGACCGTGGATTGAGACGTCCACATCAGCGAAACAATCCAGGCCTTCACTGTTCTTCAGTGTGAGGCGGTCTTGCGCTGACCACTTCTTACCGCCGCCCACAGCTGCCAATACATCTGAAAGCTTGATGCTCGCCATTCCCAACACCTGATCATATTTATTCATAAGTTGGAGCTCCAGTTCCCCAACATCCAGGTCAACAGCATTGATAAGGAGGTAAAGTGTGTGTTCGAGATCAACTTCCACTGAGCCAGTATTGGGTTCGGCTACATTCACATGGTCTCTGCCACTTGGCCCGGACCAGGCCACTCCCGGCGTGTCACTTGTGACCTCACCCACTTTTGCACGCATCCGCAGGAAGGCGGGATCCAGAATGGTCACTTTGTCCACATCCAACAGCTTGTTGGGTATGCCCAGTTCATCAAATTTCACCCTGAGCAAGTGTCGAGGATCTGCGCCTCGTCGACCTTTCCTCACAAAGTTCAGCCACTCAAAGCGAAGATACGCAGTTCCAGCAGGAGACTTCTTCGAGTCGAAATGGCTGCCGTCCTCACCATCCTTGCAAGAAAACAGTGGAATTGGTTCCTCCACTCCAAAGGCAAGGTCATGGATCGGAATAGGTAGAGCAACTGCGATCACATTTCGGAGAAAAAGTGAATTATTGTCCACCACTTGGATCTCTAGCTCTTGACGCCTATCAAAAACTAGAAAATCGCGCTTTTCGTTCCATTGTGGGTTTGTTGAGTGGAATACAACTGACGTCTGCCACAATTCAGGCGAAAGTGACAAGCTCATGTAGGGACTGCGGGAGTGTGCACCCAGGGCACCCAGCGGCCAGCTGCTAGGCAGATCTGCAGCACGCAGTACCCAAATGCGCAGCACACCTATGGGTGGGGGATCAAGCTGAGCTCGGTCCACATTCTGCTCTTCAGTGCCTACGGGGATTGTAACCGCTCGAGGGAAGACCAGTGCACTTCCTACTGCTGCTTGAAGTAGTCTCCGCAGGATGCTGGAATCCATGTGTTGCGCCAGTCCGGAATACTCGAACTGCACTTCCGGTGGGTTCAGAAAGCTGGCCACGATGCCACCAACAACCGGAATCTCTTCTATTACAGGCACGAGCCGAAGTAGCAAATCACCCTTCAAAACAATCCTGTTGACCCCTAGAGTGAGGCCACGCACTTTCATCTCAATCTTTGCTTCTGTGTCTAAGTGAAAGCCTGCCTTCACTTCTATGCCCATGAATGTGTTCTCCGGGTGGTGCCAATCAGACACTTCAAAGGGTCCGACTTCAGGCGGAGCATTACCCAACATGAAGTAGGTGAAGTGAACATCCTTCAGGGGCAAAGGCACCTGCAGCCGCAAGGCTTGGGTGAAAAGGCCAAATGGATCTTCCAGTTGGCGAGCCGCGATCGTGACGATCTTTGGGTGTAGCTTTCGCCAGACTTGATTCACCCAGTCCAGCCGAACCTCGTTCCCACGTGATGAGACTCCATGGTCTTTCTCCGAATTCTTCATGCTCCTCATCTTATGCACAGTGCTGCCAAGGCCGAAATACCTCACAGAGACCTGCGCATGCATCTTGCAATGGGCCCCCCTCCAGCTTGACCATGGACTGCAGAAGTTCCTGGGACATGAGCTGGCGTGGAGGCTGGAGAAAGCGCATGGCACAAACGTTGCCTCTGCCATCAACACCTTCGATCTTGAGGCCTTCAGTCTCAAGAACTGATCGACTCACAGGGAGCCGCAGGATGCTCTCAACTTTAAACTCCCATCCCTGCGGGCCCTGCTCGCTTTGTTCACCACGCTGCGCAAGACGAGTCTGCTGCACCGTCTCCCCAATGCAAGCACGCATGGCCAGCATGTTGCCCACAAAGGAGACATCGGAAACGTAGACCTCATCGAAGTGACATTCAACCAGACAGTCATGGACCTCCTCACTTAAAGGATCCGGAAGGGTTTCCAACCAATCTAAGGACAGCTCCACCTCCGTGTGTGTCTCCTGTACCATGTCTCCACGTTTTGGATCAGAAAGGTACACCTTCCAGGTATTCTGACCCAAGAGCTCAAAGACCTTCCGTGGCCTGGACACTGCCACAGTTGCTGGCACTAGGCAACTCAAATCCCGCAGAGAAACTGAGAGTTTCTGGTTCCAATCGTGGACAAAAAAGTCGTGCGAATTTCTCCGGCCAGCAGACTCACACCGCAATTCAAACTGCAGGGTGACCTGCTCAGCACCCTGAAGCCTCTCTGATCTGGAGCACCAAACACCTGGTGTTAGGGACCACAGCTGCCCAGCCTTGACGTCAACAAAGCCAATACTTCTGTGCCACAAGTTGTTGTCAGCTCTGTGCACTTCAAGCCTCAAGGATTCATCGTTCATCTCAAACGAAACAGGAATGCCAATGCTCCAGAGTGAATCCTCTGTGGCGGTGTCTGTGCGATAGGACTGCTGACCCATTTGCACTTGGAGATAGGTGCCAAGAGGGCTGAGGCCTGTCAAGGCAAGCACTTGGACAAAAATACGGCCTCTGGGCTGCTTTCTTGGCCAGCAACAGGACTGCTGAGATGTGGTAGCCGGGCAGATCCACTCCTCTGCACCCAGTTCAAGTTTCACCTGCGGCCACCTTGTGGACAATCGCTTTTTGATCGGTGACACCTGCGTAACCATGACTCTCAGAATACCCAGTGGCTTGATATCCCGCAGTGCTGCAGTGTCAACCACATCTTCGTCATCCACCAGCGGAACATGAATGACATTCGGCAGAAGGAGTGTGCTTGTGATCACAGAATCCAACATGCTTTGGAGCTGCCTCTTGACAGGTGGCCATTCTGATACTTGAGCCGGACCCCAGTTCATGCGGAAGTCGACCTGTGGTGGGTCTACAAAATACATCACAATGCCTCCCACCACGGGCAGCTCATTCAGCAATGGTTCCAACCGAATCACAGCGCTGCCCTTCATGGAAAGATAGCTCAAGCCTGCTGCAAGACCAAGCATGGACACGACAATCGCAACTTCCGACTGCAGATTGAATGAGATACGCAGCTCAACGCCTTGTCGTGTGCAGCCCGTGCTCGGAGTGTCCGAGACTTCCACCTCAAGAATCTCGGGCACGCCATTCCCGAGCTTGAAGTGTCGAAAGCAGAAACTTCTCAAAGGGCCTGGGAGCATGTTTTGTATCTTCGCCTCAACCTCTTGAGTCATGAACCTCTCTACCGCTGTGTTAACCTTTGGCCAAAGAAGCTCAAGAACTTCATGCAAGCACTGGAGGCTAGGACCCTGAGAATTCGGCGCCTGGAAAGCATAGGTGCCAGAGCGCAAGAAGTTGTTAGTGTGAGCCTTAGGAAGCTGTTTCAGATCCCTGAGCAAGCTGCCTAAAGCATCTGCTTCATCTTGGGAACTTGCTCGCACATGGCGAGTTTTTGGCTCTCCATTCTCCTCATGCTGCTCCAAACCTGGTGCTTCAGGTTCCAGACTGGCCCCCTCTATGGGTGGTGTCTGAGGTTTATCCTTATTCTCGGCCTGCTCCAAAGTCATCTCAGGCTCTGGGTGAGGTTCAAGTACCTCCCACAGCTCTTTGGGCATCTCAGGCTCGTTGTACTCCCCGGCAGGCTCCCACTGCATGTCAGAAGGATTCTCCTCGTTCCCCAAGTAGCAACAGCATCTCTGCATCTTTGAAGCACAAGCGTCGCTTGCGGGCCACATTCGGTTGGGTCTCAGCGCTTTGGAATGCCATTCATTGGCATATTTGATGGAACTCCCGACCAGCGTTTAGTGATGTACTGCTCCTATTCTATGTAATGGAAGCTTGGGGTCGCCCGAAATACTTTCAAGCTTCAAGCTGCAACTCAGTACTGCATGTTCGCAGCTCCTATATTGACAAAAAGGCAGGTTGGATTTTATGCATTCACTCTTGGGCCCAGTTGGACACAGTGTAGGCAAGTGCCTGATGGTGATTGTGTCTGCATCTCACCTCAAACGAACAAGAAACGCAACTGCAAAAGGATGTATAAGAAACTGCAACTGCGCCTCAAGACAGCTCATGACGGCGGCATAGGTGACTGTGGCATATATAGAGAGAGTATATAAATTATATATTTTATACAGTATGTTTAATGTCTCGTGTGTTATTTTTTCTTCTTTCTTATACTAAAATAAAGTGCTTTGGCTCATCTTTTCGTTGCTTTGGCTCATCTTTTCGTCCCTTTCCACACAAAGATCTCTCTCACCAAACCTGTTTGGCAGCGGGCAACTCAGCGCATTCTTCTCTGAACGATGCAACAATTCGAAGGCCTGGCAAGCAGAGGCACCGCCTCGCAATGGTTGAGGGCAAATCCTGCACGACAATCTGGATGCTTTCTGTCTTGACTGGTCTAGGAGTGCAGGATGAGACACTGGTGCCAAAACCCCTCTCCAACTCAAGGTAGACTAAGTAGACAAGGTCTGTGCATGACCTATGGTTTCCTGCCAAAACTGAGATGTATGGGGACTCTTGATACCTGGTAGCCACTGCTTCGAGGATTCTGGAATGATGTGTGCAAACCCTCTGAAGAGAATAATCATGGTGTCAATGACGCACTGGCCGCATTGGACAGGTCTGCAAAACTGAAAAGACTGAAAAACAAAGTGTAGATGTCACAACGTGAAATTTGTGAGCATTTGTGGAGACACCACGAAGACTGCGGAAGTGGCAGACACAAGCAAAGCTGGCGGGCAACAGCTTGTGAGGATGAGGTGCTTGTCGGCAAAATGACAAGAAAACATAATAAAGCCCCCTCGATTCTTGTCGACAAAGGTTGCCTTTTGGCAGTGAGGGAATTGTTGAATGGCTACGATGGTCACATGTTCAGTGCGCCACCTACCTCGTCAACGATGTCGTCGACCATCTGAAGGTCTTGACCGAAGCTTATGCAGGTGGGACGTTACAACAACCTGAGCAGGTGCTTTTCTCTCTGAGGACAACAATCCAGTTTGGTCATGAAAAAGAAAGTGTGTCCCCACCCCCGCTCGCCTGCAACCAATGCCCTGAGTGCTCACAAGCCTTGATCGCTGCATTTACTGAATTTGACTTCAGCAAAAGGAGCCCCTGCTCCCAACTGCTGCCCTGATCCCGTGCAGAGATGTGTACTTGAGAGACGCCGTGTGAACGTATCTCCTTCTGATTCGTGTTCTATTGAGATGTTGCACTGGCTCAGATATCTTCTGGGCTACCCTTGCCTCTGCAACAAAGGCCCACAGAACTTGCTGCTCAACACATCCACAAGCCTCGGTGAAAATTGGATTGGTCAATGTCCACTCTTGAACCATGACTGGACTGGTTCACATCTCAGCTGCTTCAACATGACAGTGACTGGCATGAGACCGGTCTCAAAATTGTGGGGGGCGCACGGGGCCCAATGGTTCTACATGTCCCAACATCCAGACTCACGTCACACCTTACCACACAATGGGTCACCCCTTTTATGTCTCACCATGTCTCACCGTTGACCACATGCCAAAGGAAACCGCCCTCTTTGGTCCCTCCAGGACCCCAGCAGGACCCCAGGCTTGTGGATGCCGAAGGCGAGGCGACGGCCACCGGGGGGGCGGTCCCTCGCGAAAACCGTGGGATGAGCAGTCGATGTTTCCGGAATCAAAGGACATCCCAAACAAAGAGGTTGCCATTCCCATGGTGATTTGGTTCTTGACGAAACACACCAAGAGTCGGGTTTTGGTGATCTACTCTATGTCAACATGGTTCGATATCATCCTGGTTCCATGCCAGATCTGTGCTGAAAATCACGCAACACGAAAACCAAACGATCCCAGTTTTTCATCTCAGCTCGTGTGCAGAGGAATCTGGTATACAGCGAGCCGGAGGGTGTCCATCCTTCGATGCAATGCAAAAGCAGCTTTGCAAGGGAGCGGAGGGACCAAAGTTTCTAGTGACCCCCAACAGACGAACTAGTAGATGTTGTGTGTTCAGTTGAACATCTGTTTTTCCATCGGTTTTGGAGCTCTGCAGGCCCGCAAGACTCAAGACCAAAGAAACATGTTCAGAATTAGCCCAGCTGGAGACCCCAAGATTCGGCAAAAGGCCGGGTTCTTGGGCCTCTTAAAGGAAAAAACAAGCAATGAGGTAATTCAGCTCCGATGATCTTCGGCCCCCTGGATCTGTAAATCGCAGAGGACCTCGGCCTTTGTCAGAGATGACCTCCCAATCTCCCAGGTCGTGGAATCGGCCGAAGTCGCCGCCGCCGGTTGAGAGGGTAAAATCACAACCCCAACTGGCACCTTGGGGTGAAATGGAAGCAATCTTGGGGGGGTTGGCCCAAACATCAACATCCGGAATCAAGATTTGTTATATATTTCTTGTCCCGTCTTGCTTTTGGTTTGCCATCTTCTTCTCAAGACATCTGCGCCCCTGGTCGGTGTGGCCTTCAATTGTTTCCACCACGTGACACTCTCTGCGGCGGGCAGCTCAAACCTCAGAAAAAGACACGAGGAAAGTGATAAAATGAATGAAATCATGGATGGACCTGTTGCAAATGATATGACTTGTACTTGTACCTCTTTTTCTCGAAACCTTTTGTGAAGGCCTAACAGTCCCTTGTCCACCCACCTTCACTTAGGGCCACTACTAGTCGCTGCAGAGGTCATCTACCACTGCACCGTTCCACCTTGTGCGCAGCCGTGGGGAGGGGCACCGGGCAGACCGAAAGTATCAGAAGGCCTCGAGACCAAATCGCCTGGTTTAGATAGTAGTTCGGAATATCAATTACCAAATATTCTCATAGCATCTCGTAGCCAAGTCTTCGCCAAAGCCTTCTGAGGAGAGGAAAGAAAGCCTCTGATTCTTTTGCAAAGCAAAGAAAATAACAGGCCAAGAAACGTTTCGGACATCTCAGAGTCAAACATCAAGTGTGATGGGACCACCCTGCGTGGATCCATCGGCAGCGGTATATCACACCGGTCCGTACCCGCCCTGCCCTGACCTCGGTTTGCCGCGAACGACCGACACCAGATAGGTCACAACCTGCTAGTATCCTGGTGCCATGACCCCCAGCCAATATAGTGATGACTCATGGGGTCTTTGAACGTCTTTGAACGTCTTTGAACCTCACATGAACCTCAGACCCTTTAGAATTTAGAACTAATCCGACACCTTGCTGTTTCCAACAGTGCCTGGTTTTTGAGTCTTGCAGGGCTGACCCAAAAAGAGCCCACCGAAAAACCGACTGGACCGGACCGACCAACCGCGCCTCAACTTGGTTCGGGCTTCGGCGGGCGGTGCCATTGAGCACTTGCAACTGGATGCCTCTGGGATAGTGCATCATCCTGACGGCTTCATCCAAGGGGATCCAACGTGCTGCACCAGAAATTACCAACATCGTCTGGCTGATGACACAGGACTTGCCAGCTGCTTCTTCGAAGCTTGGGCGGGTTTGTGTTTCGTGAGAATCACGAAGCGGTTCGGGCAAATACGTCGCTGTTGGCCCCTTCTTTGAAATCATAGCTATCAAATGCTCCCTTTCTCTCTCTCTCTCTCTCTCTCTCCCTCTATACCGCTGGTCTACATTATTCCATTCACTGCTTGCCATGATGTCCACACGAGTCCTCAGACACTCAGCTATGTGGCTCTTACCAAAAAAGTTAAAACATCAGTAGTTTGCGTCTGCTTTAGCTTCTTTAGAATTGCTTTTTGAAGAGTAGTTGTTGAGTATCATCAGAGTGATTCTGAACACCCCATCATTCAAAGTGGTCCCTGGCTGTCCACAAAAAAAGGCTGACGGATGAAGAGCTCCATGAGCCCCAGTGCCTCAGGTTGGACATGATTGACTCCAAACTCCTCCGCATCTACCTATCAGGAACCTGATGGTTGGCAAAGGTCACTCACAAAATAGCTGGCTTCATCCTACCAAAGGGTGTTGTCACCAACAGTAAATCCAGGCCACGTCACTTTGTTAGATCATCGCCCACCGTCGGACTTCTGGCGTTCACCCTGCTCCACGCTTGAGCCCAAAGACGTAGAGGATTGATGAGGATTGAGGGTTTGTATTTGGGTTCACAACAGCTGTGTGCTCGCTTCAGGTTTTCAGCATCTGAAAGTATTGCTCATCGATTTAAGTGCGATTAATGTACAGTGGTTTCAGAGTAGACGGCACAATCCCCCAAAGGTGGCTTATATGATCCCCCATCTAAAGGGCATCGCCACCTGCTCTGAAACCACTGTAACGAAGAATGCTCAAATCTGGAAAGAATGTTCCAAGATGCCTCAAGCCCAGTGAGCGAAAGCAGCCATGGCCACAATGCAGGAAAAAGAATTCCAAGCATAGAAGTCATTTTAGAAGGGGTAAATGACCGACTTACTGACCATAGTTTGGTCACTGAAGATACTTCCTAGAATCTAGCAACTTGATTCTGGCTCTATATCATATATTCATTATATTGTTGAAATGAACGCTCCAACAATTCTTTATCATGCAAGTAGGATCTCAACAGCCAACATTTGATTAGCAAGAGACCCTTATATAACCAAATCTTGTCGAAGTTGCAAGCCACTTCCGCCGCCAGTTCACGTGCCTCGAAGACACTATAGAAATTCCTAGGTGCGTTGCATACGAAGGCAATGGTGGTTCCCGAGTCTTGTGGACAAATCCGCAATGCACCCTGGCAACATGATGCAACGCATAGCAACATGTTGCCTCTTTCATACTGGGAAAAGGGCTGCATACCGCTGAGCATACCGGGCAGCTCTGTTGCATCCCTTTCTTGACAGAGACCAATCGGGTGCACCAACAGACAAACGATGTGAGTCATTGCTCCAGGAGATGGTTCGCAAGCGTTGAAATTTCCTAGTAGCGTCCTTGCTCCCAGTGGCGATGCCAGGAGCCCCTAGTAGCGTCCTTGCCTTGCTCCTAGTAGCGATGCCAGGAGCTCCTGGTAGCGTGATTGCTACTATAGTAGCGATGCCAGGAGCCTTGCTGCTACAAGCGATGCTAGGAACCCCTAGTAGCGTCCTTGCTCCTTAGTAGCAATGCCAAGAGCCCCTAGTAGCGTCCTTAGCTCCTTAGTAGCGATGCCAGGAGCCCCGAGTAGCGTCCTTGCTCCTAGTAGCGATGCCAGGAGGAACCCCTAGTA